AACACTAGTGAATTCAATGTGAGCGTTCAGGAGTAATTTTCCCTCTTTTGCCACTTTGCCTTTGGGCATAATATTTGGGAATGCTTTAATCTGAATCTGAAATAACCCTCTGCTGCCTCAATTAGGAGAGTTTGCAGAGGTTTTGCTATTTTTTTTTTTTTAGTTCCTGTCACTCACAAATATTCAGCTCTCTTGTAGTCCTTCTCTTCCTCCCAGACAATGTCCCTGCACAATGTTAGCTTGTTGTCCCACAAGTTAGTCTTCTCATATTCTGTAAGTCTGGAAAGCTGGAGGACAGCAGCACATTTTTCTTGTCAAGTTTTTTGCCATCCATTTGATTTTCAGATCAAATATCCCAAGAAACTTTAAATTGTGATTCTAAGCTAGATTTGCTATTATTTTATTTATTGTTATTTGTAAGAAAAATGTTTCCCCCTTTCTGAGCTCTCATAGTGCAGTACTCAAATGAGCTTACGTCAGGTAAAACTGTAATGTTGCAATGAAGTATGCATCAGAGCAATACAATATGAATGATACATAAAAAATATCTTAATATCAAAACCAAAATTTTTACTAACCGTCATTAACAGCAAGAGAGGTAGCCAGGCAAGTTATAGAGAAGTTCGTATTACAGGCTGGCACTGATTCTCACTGATTACCTGATTTTCACTGATTACCTCTTTCAAAATCTGGTTGTAACATTTCTTTTAAGACAGAAACAAATTGGTTCTTTTAAGGTATAAATAAATCAATTAATTCCCATTTTCTGTTCTCCCCTTGTAGTGATTCTGTTTCTTAATATGTTGGTATTGACTCTAGATATAGCCTTTTATGCATTACAATGTGTTATACATTCAGAAATTTTAACCATTCATAAGCATTTCAGTACTACTTTAGTGGGGGTTCACATATTGTGTGAAGGCAGGTTTGTTTAACTATTATTGTTAGAATAAATTGTCATAGGGTGAATTAGCATGTGTTAAGCCATAAACCATATTTATAAATCACAGTTGCTGGGTTTACACAATCAATAAGATAAAGCAGAGGATAAAGCAGAGGAGAAATAGGAAACTTTCTTTGTTTTAATATGAAAGAAGAAATGTACTGAGAAACTAAAACTAAATTACCAGGAAAAAAAAATATACAAGCTGGTAAACTGTTTTAGCTTCAACATTATTAGTTTATGCTCTAGAAATTACATTACTAGATTTGGAACTGAAATTATGAAACAGAGAATAGATTAAATTGTACATAGTGCAATTTATGTCTTACATTTTTATTTGTATTGATATGTCAGAAGCCACCTTGGGCATGCTTTTACCCTTAAATCTGGCCTACAAATGTTTTAAATAAATAAACAAATATCAATGTTTTCCAAGGGTGAGATTTCATTTGAAAGACAAATGCATAATTCACTGATTTGTAAAACAAACCCAGGTTTTGAGAAACTAAGATGCAAGATGGCACTTTCTCTCTCTTTCTCTGCAAAGCTGTTGTGCAGGAATGGGGAACTTGTGGCCCCCAAAAGCATTTTTGAAGCCCCAGAAGCCCTGAGACTGGTAGCTGAAAATTCGTATTATTGCTCATCACTGGGGATGTTTAGTTTCCTAATATCTTGAGGCAGGAAACACAGAAATAGGCCAATTAAAGAAAGAAAACAAAACAAAATAAAAAACAACCTCCCCTTTCCAAATAATTAGGGAAAAAAACTGGAAATCCTGCCCCTTATGATCCTGCCCTGCCAATGCAGCCCTTACTCATTCTCAGATTTAGGGGCTGCCCAAAGCTGCTCGCTCCTGCTATAATGAATGATTTAATTACATATTAAATATGATGCATTATTATTAGGTAACCTGGATACTGAATATATTGAAAAGCCTTGGGAATGCAAGATTGTAGAGATAAAATTTCATACTGGGAGCTGAATGAGGATTGATCAATTAAATATTTGAAAGAAGGATCTAAGAAGAAACTGGAGCTAGAAAAATATATCTAAGAGTTGTTTATCTTTGGAAAACAAACATTTTGTAATGCTCTCATTTTTATTGATCTAGGAAAACAGAATGAAGGAGGTAATGCCTAATAACAGTACAACAAGTATATCTCAAGCAAGAAAAGCAGTGGAGCAGTTAAAAATGGAAGCATATCTGGATAGGATAAAGGTAAATTTGAACTTGTAAAGATATTTACAAATTGCCACCCCCTGGTTGGAGATTTGCCAAAGCTACTCAGATATTTAACACAGCATGGCTAGATAAGAATTTTCATGGCATACTGGCATCCGTACTAGGTTGAAGCTAGTTGCTTGCCATCTGTCAATATGAGAATGCGATTTCCCCTTATGTCCAGTGCAGTTTAAATCTCTAGCTTTCCCACCACCACCACCACTTTTCTCATAGCTTAATGGACACCTGTTTTGCTTGTCTCAGGCTGGGTGCTAGGTGGCAGTTGACCCAACCATCACTCCTGCCTTGGCACACTCCAGTTCTCAATGTAATTCCCACAAATATTACTCTGTGATATTTGTTGTTGGGAGGCTGTAAGTAATTACAGTAGCTTTTCCTGTTCATCGAACAGTATCTATTGTGGAAAAGGGGTGGGGGGAAATACTCTTCCTCCTGTAACTCCCTGGATTCTCAAAATCTGATGCAGAGAGCTTGAAGAAGTCCCAGAGTAGAATGGGGTTAAGGTCAGCAAGTTCAGAGTTAAAGAGTTAAAGGTCCTACTGTTCAAATGTAAATCCATTTGTGCAATGTTGGAATTTACTCAAGTTGCATAAATGTTTAGGTTATGCTGAAATTAGGGCATATTGCTATTACTTATAGGATACAGCATTTATGCTTGAAAGTAATTTGGTCATGAAGGATCAGATTACCATTAAATTATTTCTTGATCAGCTTTGTAACCATCTTATTTTGTAGATAAATATCTCTGTTGAGAAAAGACCATCCCTCATCTTAATTTAGGAAAAAAGTAGATTATATCCACTGTCACTGGAGTTAGCAGATTTATCGAAAGTTAGATCTGATACATCCTTTCTGAACACAATATACTGGTGCTTGAATGAACAAAGCAGTATTTGGAAGTGTTTGAAATCTATTCCTTAGATTTTCTTTCCACAATACAGTACAGAGGACTTCTTGGCTTGCAAAATTAATTAAATGTTGTTACAAGTTGGCTCAGTGACAGTTCTGTGAAATTTAAACCCTCCCAAAAACACCTAACCTGCTGTCTTCTCCTCTGTCAACTGCAGTACTAAAATGATTTCTGAAAGACCTCATAGGCACACATTCTCTGAAAACATTGCCTAAACAGATTTTTCCATTTGTGGTTTGAAATCACTGCACTCAGGACAAATTTATGGCTTTGAATATCTTAAAACTTTAAGTTGTGATTTTTACATTCATGAGATAAGCAAAATGAGCTTATACACATTTAAATCTCTCAGGAAATGAAGCAACAAATAAGTTGTAGAATAATTAAATTTTATTATTTTCTCAAATAACATTCCCACATAAACATGTACTGTGCATAAACAGAAGTGACTCATTTCCACATGTACAAAACATTCTGAATGATACATTTAAACTGAAATTTTAAAAAAGCTGGTGCCGAGGATTGTGAGGATCAGTTATATCGCTTCACGGTATTATATGCAAAACTTAATCTCCACTGAGCAACAGAACCTTTTATGTCTTTGGTAAATCCTGCTACTGCCTTAATTTTATAAGTTCATAATTCATAATTGGGTCCATATACTTAGCTATGGTTTATATAACCATAGTTTACTGAAAAGCCACCATTGGCTGGGTTTATGTAATATTCTAAACCATTACCCATGGCATAAGAACCACAGTGCTTGGATTGTACATTTTAAGCTAGCAGCCAAGGAAAGACATAGCTCTTTGTGTTCAGTGAATCAGGTCAAAGTATATGAAGAACATGCAGCCAGGTAGCAAAGAGATTAGGTCTAACAACTATGGAAAGGAGATGAAGAAAGAGCCTGGGGACTCATGCTGTTTCTTAACCACCATTTCCTTCTCTTCCAGAAGTTGAACGTTATGTGACCTAGTTTTATTTCTAAAGCTAAACAGGTCCAATCTTATATACTGTTTGGATGATAACACATCTGGAAACCATATGCAAGCCCTGGGCATGTTCAGATAATGGGCATGTTCATTAAATTAAATTTATTATTAAGCTGAGAAATACATAAATGTTTCTTTGTATATGGAGCTTATTTGCATAGCTATAAGTAAACACAGATGCCTCTAATTTAACTATTACCTCCTTTTTTTCATATAGCTAGTGACTTAAAAAAAGCCATTAAACCGATTTCAAAATATTGTAAAGTTTAATATTTTGGTTTGTTCTCAACTCGTAATAATAGTTTCTCAATTCAGCCAAAATAAGAAACTATGTGGGAGGCTTCTTGATTTAATCAGAGTTTGCCTGAACAAGAGACTTTGCACGTTGCAAGTTAATAAGCAAAGACCTGATTGCCCAAACAGGAACTGATAAATAAAACTCTACAACATTCAGAATAGTGAACAAAATTTACTAAAAAATTAGATCTTAATTAAAATCAGTAGCTATGATCCAGAAATTAATGCACTGTAGATAAATATTGCTGCTGAAAGAGAAATTTTTTTTTTTTTTTTTTTGAAAAACAGTGAAATTGAAAAAGTTAGAGTCAATATTGGTAGAAGTAATTTGTATAACTAAAGTTTGGAGATACCTTTTAGAATAGCAAAACTATGATGCTGACTTCTAGTCAAGAAACACTGATTTTTAGCACAAGTATCATTGTGAACAATTGCGTACAGCAGCTATTGTGCTTTTCCCAATCTCCTTTAAAGATGGAATTGTTAATTATTTCTAAAATAGTGTTGTGAAATCAACACTGGCATTAGTGAGATGTTTGTGGATGTGCTCATTTTAGATACAAAGCAAAAGCAGAGTGGGTGTCATTGCATGAATAGTAATTATGTCTGTCTTTTCATGGAAGGTGACTGTAGTAATTGCAGCATTTTCTCTTGTCACTGAATCTTATAATTATAGGGTATCTAACAGGATTATGTCCTAACTTGGGCTGTTTTTAATCACCTTCTTTACTCTGAAATGTAATGATAACATTCTCTAGTTCTTTCAAAAACTGCTAACTTTCTCTTAAATCACAAATATCTGGTAACAACCCTCTGAGGTAGAATTTGTGGTAATATACATCTATAATAAATAAAAAGGGGTGGAAAAGAAAACAAGTATAACTGTTCCATTGATGGAGAATTATCTAGAAACCCCAAGAAAATTCTTCCCTATTCTTCTTCACACCCACATCTTTTAATTAGTCTGTATTATGAAATAAATCAATCCTTGATCAGTGCTGCTTTACAATACAAATAGCAATAGAACTATTGAGACCCAAAATACTCAAGGGTAGGGATGAACTGACCTATCTTTAGGTGACAAGGAAGTTGAATTAAGTCACAGAAGTTGAAACTTAGAAGGCTTTTGCGAATCATAAAGTTAGAAGGGACATAATACAACCATATGTTGAAGCACAATGTCCACTATCTCTCCTTAAAAGTCATTAAGGAAAAAAAGATAATCTATTATTTTCTGAGACTTGTTTATTCCCAACAGTCATGAGATTCAATCAACTATTGGCCTAGTACAGTTACATTGTCCTGGATTGTGAGATCTGGAAACCAATTTATCTGAAGTTGTGTCTAAGTGATTCCAAGTTATATTGTTTGGTGAAGGACACATATTCCGAAATTTAGTTTGACATTTTCCCTAGGTGTGATGTGAAATGATCTAGTTTCTCCTTGTTTTCCCCTGTTACAACTGTACATTCCATTAGCACAAAAATAACTGAGAAATCTAATTGAGCTTTTCTTTCTTTCTTTTTTTTCCCATTTTTGAATATTTGTACTTGTGCCAGAATGTATCATTTGGTACATTATCATAGACTAAAATAAAACATGTATAGGACTTACATATAAAATAAAAAATTGCTTGATCATGGCATATCTTGCTGGGCCAGCTCTGTCACAAGGTTTCATATGGCTTCCTCACAGCAGCTGATCTTCTTTGGAGTGACTTATGGCTAGTGATACAGCAAGCTGCTTTGTTTGCACCATACAACTTGTGCTAGCTTTTCTGCATGGTGCAGCTCTTTCATACTGGAATGGCCTCTTGATTATATCACTGGACTCTAATGCAGCCTGTATATAAATTGCAGCAACTGGAGTGAGCTATGAGTGGTCTGCAGAAAGCACTAGTGTCCAGCCACTGAATGTTAATTCTGCCTGCAGTCCATTCACAGTTCACTCTGAGCATTGCATACAGACTGTTGGTATCAGTAGCATACAGTGTGCAGTTGACAGCCCATCCTCCCCCCAAAGAGGAGTAAATACAGGTAGAAGGTGCAGAAGAAGAGGATAATTAATCCTTTAATTCTCATATACTCAAGGTTCTGTTATTTGCAGTTTGAGGTTTTATGCTGGATGAAACCCTGTGAGTAATAAGGATCACCTGTATTGTATTGTATTTCTTTGATCTGACATACAGTATGATTCAGAGAGGCCACTACTTATTACAGAGGCTTTGCTGTTAAAGAGAAGTATCTAGTAAATCATTTAAGTATCTGACAAAGATACCGGTCACATTTTTTTAATAACTCATTTCTTTTTTGTTTCCTTTTGCATTTGTCTTTGTTCCACTTTTAATGGCACTCTTCTGAAGATTTCCACACTGCTTTTAAAAATATCATTAAAAGATCAAGACAACACATTCTTCATATTTGTTTTTGGACTCTTCCCCATACTCTCTATGGGTGCCATTTTTAGGAACTTACTATAATTACAGAGAGATTAATAAATAACATACTGAATGATAGTCTGAGATGTGTGTGTGTGTGTGTCTCCAAATCATATTCTCAAAAAAAAACAAACAAAACAAAAACAAAAACTGATGGGGCAAGGCAAAAGCTTGAATATAATTTAATTAACATTATTTAACGACATGATTACTCCTTATATATTTAACATTTTTCTGTTTCTGCCTTGTTCAAAATTATAATGCAGAGAACTTTGGTGAGAGGCTGTGGGAGACACACAGAAAGTTTTCAAGGGTCACATGCAGGCCTGGGACAACTGGTTCCCCACCTGTGGTGTAAAGGAATACTTCATTGAAATATTCTAACTGCTTGGATCAGTCCATTAACACTATTGCAGTAGTAACAATATTCAGATAACCCTTCCCCCATTTTTCTTTTCTTCTTCTTCTTCTTCTTCTTCTTCTTCTTCTTCTTCTTCTTCTTCTTCTT